TCTTGACTGCCTGGTACCGCGGCACTGCGGGCGGCCGGGCCCGCGCCCGTTTGAAAAAGCCCAGCTGGGGGGAAGGAAGAGGAGGGGAGTCAGGGCAGGGAGCAGAGACCTCAGGGGCTGCACCGAGACCTTCCCTGGTGCACCCCCCCCGGGCATGGTGCCCAGGCACAACCCATGGGGACGTCCCGTTGCACGCCAAAAATGACCCTCCAACACAGCACAGCACACGCGTGCACACCCGGGGCAGGCCGGGCCATTACCCCTATGGCTTCTCCGCATCGGAGGGCTGCACCGCCAGGTGCGCCCGGTAGTAGCTGGTGGCGTAGGGCGGGTCGTGGGCACCGCGCCGGAAGAAACCACACTGGGAGTGGGGATGGAGCAGGGTAAGCTGAGACGCTGCCCAGGGAGGGGGCCAGGCACAGAGACACCCCCCAAACACCACCTGCTGTGGCCTGGGCAAGGGGCTGGATGCCGCCAGGGTGGCATGGGGGGGATCCCATACCCCCCACTCACCTTCCAGAGGACAGCGACCAGCAGGGCCAGCAGCAGGATGCCGGCCAGCACAGCCAGCAGGATGATCCACCAGGCCACGGCCCGGGCGCCTGCCACGCTCGGGTCCAGGTAGATGGTCACCGGGATCTGGGGAGGAGGCAGCACAGGGGTCAGGGGGCAGCTGGGGGGATCCCGGAGAGCGAGGAGGGGGCACGGTGGTACCTGGGTGGCCGCGTCCTTCAGCACCAAGTTGCGCACAGAGGATTTCACAGTGACACTGGCCCGGACGATGAGCTCCACGGAGGTGACAGACAGGTAATCCTGGAGGAGGGGCAGCACTCAGCACCCCACCCAGCAGCTTAGCACCCCCCGCCCCGCACCTCAGGAGGGGGTCTCACCTCCAGGAAGGTGCTATTCCAGAGGCGCCCCCAGGCCTTGAGTGTGGCAGCACGGTCGAAGCTGTGCAGTGGGCACTGGTAGACCAGACAGCGCGCGGTGCCGTGGGCACAGTCCTGGCATGGAGACATGGCGTGAAGGAGATTGGGGGGAACATGATGCCCCCCAGAAGCAGCTGCAAATGTGTGTGGTGGGGGGCTGGGCTGCACTCACCAAGGTGATGTTCTTCCTCCTCTCTGCAGGCAGGAGCCGGCGCTGGGGCGTCTTGGGGGGCATTTCTGGGGGCTCGGCTGCCCGCCGGCTGCGGCCAGGGGTCTCCTGTGGGCAGGAGGGGGTCAGAGGAGGGGGGACTGGGGGAGGAGTGGAGGGGACAGGGGCCACCTACCCGCGCTAGCTGCAGGGGGTTGGTGGCAGGGCTGCAGGCCACGCGTGGCCCCGCGTGGGGCTGCAGCTCCAGGCGCACAGGGTACAGCAGCCACTTGCCGTTGGGGGTCTCGTGTGGCCACTGGAGGTTGAGGAAGGCTGAGCCCAGCGTCCGCAGCGACTGGCCCTGGTTGGAGACCTGGTGCAGTGGGGGGGCAAGTTCAGACCCTGAGCCCTTGGCAGGGGGGACATCCCCAACTCGGGGAAACTGAGGCACGGAGCGTGGCAGGCAAGGAACCCAGGTGTCCAGGCTCCTGCTCAACTCACCGTGACGTTGTACTGGATGGCGCTGCCCACCTGGCTCTCGTGCTTCATGGCACTCTCGCCCCGCACGGTCCCGCCGAAGAAGAGCTGCGCCGTGTTGGCCGTGCTGCGGGGCAGCGGCTGGGATCAGAAGGCGCCTTCCCAACCCCCCAGCCCGGCCCCCTCCAAACCTCCCGGCTCCAGGCACTCACCCGATGACGGAGAGGGGCAGCTCGATGACCACACGCGCCCGCACCAGCACCGGCTGCAGCCCTGGCTGCTCGCTGATCCTGTGAGAGAGGGGGGTCAGGACGGGTCAAGCCCCGGGGCACCTCCAGGGACCCACCTGACCCCGCTGCGGGCACTCACGTGCTCAGCTGCAGCTGCACCTCCAGCTCTGTGGTCTCGAGGGTGATGCCCGAGGTGCTGACGATGAGGTAGAACCGCACCTGGGAGGAGTGCAGGGGGCAGGGGTCAAGGCTCGGGGGTCAGGGGTCAGGGGAGAGGGGTCGGGGCAAGGTTGGCACCCACCTGAGCACCGCGCTTCATGGGGTTGCCCAGGTCGCACTCGGCCTGTGACCCATTCTCATTCGACTGGCACAAGACTGGCTTCTCCTGTGGGGGCAGAGTGGAGCCGTGGGGGCAAGACCTCCCTGCCCCATGGCCAGCCCCAACTCTTGTACCCCCCATGCCAAATCTGTCCCCCACAACCCCCGCCCATTCCTATATGCAGCCCCCAGACCCTTTCCTTTCTCTGTACCCAGCCCCAGCTCCCCACCCCGTGCCCAGCCCCGAGCCTGTACCATGCCAGGGGGCGCACGGGCATCGTAGGGCCGGGCGCTGGCATACAGCAGGGCGGATGGGAAGGTGGCAGTGAGCAAGGCCTCATGGGCATCGTCGCCATCACGTTGCGGCTTGGTTGGGTCCGAGGGCATGTTGGTCACGTGGATCTCCAGGGCCACGTCCTTCTGGTCGGTCATGGCGAACATGGCCGTGCCATCGGCCTCGCTGCCCGCCCGCAGCCCCGCA